GGTCGTACGACGAGGAGGTGAGCTGTCTCGGCGGCATGGAGCTGGCGGAGTTTGCGCGGGACCACGACGTCAGGGCGGAAGGCTGCATCATTGGGGAGCCGACCGGCATGACTGTGGTGATTGCTCACAAGGGCACCTCCCACTTTTGGGTTCGTGTGCGGGGCAAGGCGGCGCATTCGTCGCTCGCGCTGACGGGTGAAAGCTGCAACGCCATCGACTACGCCACAAAACTCATTACGAAGCTGCGCGAGATTGCGGAGGAGTACCGCCGGAACGGCACCCGGCATGACTTCGAGGTGCCGTTCTCAACGCTGTCGACGAACCTCATCAGTGGCGGCAACGCCTCGAACACCGTGCCCGCGGAGTGCGAGTTCCTCTTCGAGTTTCGAGCGCTTCCCAACGAGACTGTCTCCAAGATGATGCAGCAGGTGCGGTCTTACGTGGAGACGCAGCTTCTCCCGGCCATGAAGGCGGAGTTTGAGGACGCTGAAATTGTTATCACGCCGCGGGATGAAACGCCGTCGTTTGAGGGCAGTGAGGAGGCGCCCTTCACCAAGCTGGCATGCGCCATTAACAATGATTACAAGGTTTGGAAAAAAAACTATTGCACGGAGGCGGGCCACTACAGTGGGATTGCCGGCGCACCAACTGTGATATGCGGACCCAATGGCGGGGCCATACACTGTGCGAATGAGTATGTCACCCCCGCGCAGCTCGACAAGTGCCGTGAGTTTGTTCTGAGGGTGGCGGAGAGCCTCAAGGCGTCCCCTGCCCACCTGTGACAATGTTGCCACCGCCAGTGTGCTGGGGCGTTATATTTACCTGAAATTTAGTGGGGTTTTGTTGGGCTTCTTTCTTTTCCTACTTGTTTCTTGGGTGGGTGGGTTTGGGCTATGTTTGGCGTTGAGCGTTGGTGGGGGGGACCGTCATGGCGTGTCTCAATTTCCACACCGGCAGCTGAATGCGGGGCACTGTTTAGGGATACATTCTGACAGCGGGGTATGTGGTAGGCACATCGTTCTTTTTTTATGAGCTTGTGAAGAGAATGTTCTCAGGAAGACTAGCTGCCCAAATTAACATATTTTGATAAAACGAATATATATATATTTTTTTTTACGATTCTTTGTTATTTTATGAATTTTTGGAAGACCGTGATTTATGGAAGCAAGAAACCGATATCGGTAAGACGAATTTTTTTATTTTTATTCTTTCCATCCCACCTGCCCCATTTGATTCCCCTCTTGCGGCGGGGTCTTGTGGCGGGAAGACCCCAAAGACTACCACTTCGTAACTGATAATATGTTTAATCCTATCAAAGTGCACCATGTCACTAGAGTGGCAACCAGAATATATTTACTTGGGTTAATCCTTGGGGAATTGGCGAACCCACTGCTTTTTTACTTACCTCTTTTCTCCCACCTCGTCAATTGCTTTTAGATAAGTTTATTGTCCGGCCAGCATCCCGGGGGAATACTTTGGTTTATTTCTTTGAATACACCTACCTCCACGGCACTCCTGCCACCGCTGCGCAGCACTCACGCTCACACGCACACACACACACTCGGGCACGTCCCCTGCGTCTCTCTGCATCACCCTTCTCCCCCTTGCACCCTGCACTCCCTAGTTCGTTTACAAGATCTTAAGCAACTCACCTTGGCGATGGCGGCTCGGTCCATGGACCACACACAGTGGCTGGCGAAGCTTGTGGCCTTTGACACGACGAGCCGCAACTCGAACCTTGAGCTCATCCACTACTGCAAGGACTACCTGGAGGGGCTTGGTGTCAAGTGCACCCTGCTACACAACGCCGAGAGGAACAAGGCAAACCTGTGGGCGACGCTGCCGGGCGACGGCGGCGTGACGAAGGGCGGCATCATTCTCTCCGGCCACACGGACGTGGTCCCGGTGGACGGGCAGAAGTGGGACAGCGATCCGTTTACGCTGACGGAGCGGGATGGGAAACTGTACGGTCGCGGCACGTCCGACATGAAGGGCTTTGTTGCCGTGTGCATGTCTCTGGCCCCCGAGCTCCTCAAGATGAAGCGCGCGAAGCCGATCCACTTTGCGTGGTCGTACGACGAGGAGGTGGGCTGTCTCGGCGGCATGGAGCTGGCGGAGTTTGCGCGGGACCACGACGTCAGGGCGGAAGGCTGCATCATTGGGGAGCCGACCGGCATGACTGTGGTGATTGCTCACAAGGGCGGCTCCCACTTTTGGGTGCGTGTGCGGGGCAAGGCGGCGCATTCGTCGCTCGCGCTGACGGGTGAAAGCTGCAACGCCATCGACTACGCCACAAAACTCATTACGAAGCTGCGCGAGATTGCGGAGGAGTACCGCCGGAACGGCACCCGGCATGACTTCGAGGTGCCGTTCTCAACGCTGTCGACGAACCTCATCAGTGGCGGCAACGCCTCGAACACCGTGCCCGCGGAGTGCGAGTTCCTCTTCGAGTTTCGAGCGCTTCCCAACGAGACTGTCTCCAAGATGATGCAGCAGGTGCGGTCTTACGTGGAGACGCAGCTTCTCCCGGCCATGAAGGCGGAGTTTGAGGACGCTGAAATTGTTATCACGCCGCGGAACGAAACGCCGTCGTTTGAGGGCAGTGAGGAGGCGCCCTTCACCAAGCTGGTATGCGCCATTATCAATAATTACAAGGTGTGGAAATTGGCTGGCTGCACGGAGGCGGGCCACTACAGCAGGATTGCCGGCGCACCAACTGTGATATGCGGACCCAATGGCGGGGCCATACACTGTGCGAATGAGTATGTCACCCCCGCGCAGCTCGACAAGTGCCGTGAGTTTGTTCTGAGGGTGGCGGAGAGCCTCAAGGCGTCCCCTGCCCACCTGTGACAATGTTGCCACTGCCAGTGTGCTGGGGCGTTATATTTACCTGTAATAGGTTTTTTTGTTGAGCTTCTTTCTTTTCCTATTTGTTTCTTGGGTGGGTGGGTTTGGGCTATGTTTGGCGTTGAGCGTTGGTGTGGGGGACCGTCATGGCGTGTCTCAATTTCCACACCGCCAGCTGAATGCGGGGCACTGTTCAGGGATACATTCTGACAGCGGGGTATGTGGTAGGCAAATTGTTCTTTTCTTTTTTTTTCTTGATTTATTTTTTTGAATACGCCTACCTCCACGGCACTCCTGCCACCGCTGCGCAGCACTCACGCTCACACACACACACACACACACACACTCGGGCACGTCCCCTGCGTCTCTCTGCATCACTCTTCTCCCCCTTGCACCCTGCACTCCCTAGTTCGTTTACAAGATCTTAAGCAACTCACCTTGGCGATGGCGGCTCGGTCCATGGACCACACACAGTGGCTGGCGAAGCTTGTGGCCTTTGACACGACGAGCCGCAACTCGAACCTTGAGCTCATCCACTACTGCAAGGACTACCTGGAGGGGCTTGGTGTCAAGTGCACCCTGCTACACAACGCCGAGAGGAACAAGGCAAACCTGTGGGCGACGCTGCCGGGCGACGGCGGCGTGACGAAGGGCGGCATCATTCTCTCCGGCCACACGGACGTGGTCCCGGTGGACGGGCAGAAGTGGGACAGCGATCCGTTTACGCTGACGGAGCGGGATGGGAAACTGTACGGTCGCGGCACGTCCGACATGAAGGGCTTTGTTGCCGTGTGCATGTCTCTGGCCTCCGAGCTCCTCAAGATGAAGCGCGCGAAGCCGATCCACTTTGCGTGGTCGTACGACGAGGAGGTGAGCTGTCTCGGCGGCATGGAGCTGGCGGAGTTTGCGCGGGACCACGACGTCAGGGCGGAAGGCTGCATCATTGGGGAGCCGACCGGCATGACTGTGGTGATTGCTCACAAGGGCACCTCCCACTTTTGGGTGCGTGTGCGGGGCAAGGCGGCGCATTCGTCGCTCGCGCTGACGGGTGAAAGCTGCAACGCCATCGACTACGCCACAAAACTCATTACGAAGCTGCGCGAGATTGCGGAGGAGTACCGCCGGAACGGCACCCGGCATGACTTCGAGGTGCCGTTCTCAACGCTGTCGACGAACCTCATCAGTGGCGGCAACGCCTCGAACACCGTGCCCGCGGAGTGCGAGTTCCTCTTCGAGTTTCGAGCGCTTCCCAACGAGACTGTCTCCAAGATGATGCAGCAGGTGCGGTCTTACGTGGAGACGCAGCTTCTCCCGGCCATGAAGGCGGAGTTTGAGGACGCTGAAATTGTTATCACGCCGCGGGATGAAACGCCGTCGTTTGAGGGCAGTGAGGAGGCGCCCTTCACCAAGCTGGTATGCGCCATTAACAATGATTACAAGGTTTGGAAAAAAAACTATTGCACGGAGGCGGGCCACTACAGTGGGATTGCCGGCGCACCAACTGTGATATGCGGACCCAATGGCGGGGCCATACACTGTGCGAATGAGTATGTCACCCCCGCGCAGCTCGACAAGTGCCGTGAGTTTGTTCTGAGGGTGGCGGAGAGCCTCAAGGCGTCCCCTGCCCACCTGTGACAATGTTGCCACCGCCAGTGTGCTGGGGCGTTATATTTACCTGAAATTTAGTGGGGTTTTGTTGGGCTTCTTTCTTTTCCTATTTGTTTCTTGGGTGGGTGGGTTTGGGCTATGTTTGGCGTTGAGCGTTGGTGTGGGGGACCGTCATGGCGTGTCTCAATTTCCACACCGGCAGCTGAATGCGGGGCACTGTATAGGGATACATTCTGACAGCGGGGTATGTGGTAGGCACATCGTTCTTTTCTTTCTTCTTTGATTTATTTTTTTGAATACACCTACCTCCACGGCACTCCTGCCACCGCTGCGCAGCACTCACGCTCACACGCACACACACACACACTCGGGCACGTCCCCTGCGTCTCTCTGCATCACCCTTCTCTCCCTTGCACCCTGCACTCCCTAGTTCGTTTACAAGATCTTAAGCAACTCACCTTGGCGATGGCGGCTCGGTCCATGGACCACACACAGTGGCTGGCGAAGGTTCTGTTTTTTTTTGTCGTATCTGTTTTGCCGTTTGGTGTATTGCTTTTGACTGAAGGCCTACTGTCCATGGTTTGCAAAAGTTTATTTTATTGATTTTTTGAAGGACCCGTTTTTACTTTTTTTTTTTTTTTTTATTTGAAGGAACTTTATTATGCTGTTTGTTTAGATTGTTTTGTTTGTTGTGCAGGATGGGGCATATTTTCTCAGCGTGTGGGTATGTCTATGGAGTAAGGGGAGATTTCGCTCTTTTGAAGATCTGATTTGTGGAATTTTGATTTTTTTTTTTTTTTTTTTTTTTTTTTTTGGGTGGTGGAGATTTAGTAGGTGATTATTGGTCTTTGTGGTATTCTGCTGTTTTTTTGTTTTTGTTGTTGTTGTTGTTGTTTTGATTGTTTCGGAGTGTTTCCAACAGCCACAGTGGCGTACACGACGCATAGAAACGGTTCTGTCTTCTCTCCGTCAGCTCAGTTTTGGCCGCACAACCGCAAGGGAGGTGCGTTGTGTTGTGTGGCAGCCGATCATAGCGGGGAGGAGGAGCGGAGGGAGGGAGCGGGAAAACCAAAAATAAAATAAAATAAAGAGGCCCCGCAGTGAGATCTATAAACTTAAAAAAAGAAACAAAAAAAAAAAACACTAGCGAGAAGGAAAGTGTGAGGGAGACAAAAGTGGGTGCGGGTTGGAAAGAGTTGGCGGCGGTGGTGGTGGTTCCCCGTGACAAGACGATGGCCGACAACTCCCCAACCATCACATGGAGCTCCATCATTATTATTGTCATTATTGCCGTTTTGGTCCTTGCTTTGCTCCTTGCGTGCATGTG